TGTGGTTTGTTCAGATGCAACTTTGCAAACCTAAACTGTGTTGCTATGTTTCGTTTTGTTTTTATAATAAGAGACTTCCCCTTTTCAACGCTTCCGAACAAGCTATTCTTGTTCAGTCTGTTTTTAATTATACTGGGGTGAACTTCAACATTTAACAAGCTAATCGAGGCCTGCAGAGTGTGAGTGTGAGATGTAGCACTTGGGGCTTTTTGTTTGTTTGTTTTGTTTTTTCCAATTTCTCTAAGCATTGTCTAATCTTGTGGGGAATTTTCTGGAACATCTCCTCCTAAGAAGATTGTGGCAAGATGTTAACCCACCAGAATGCCCCAGAGCTACAAACTGCAAATGAAACCTTTGCCTTAATTGACAAGTTTGTCAATTAATCAGGTATATTTGATTAGCAACACCTAGCTGCTACTTAACCTCTTAATTACTATGGAAGCCGTGCGGGTGTGAGCTCAGCTTTTCACAGGACTGATTGGAGTACTGTTAACATTTTCTTCATCTAATCTTCTTCTAATATTATAGAGGTATCTTTTTACTCTGCCTCAAATCACATAGGCTTTCAATTAAACAAGTGGTTTTAACTGGTAATAATATTAGTAATTATAACTAAGGACTGATACTGAAACAAGTGCCTTTATAGGGTTGATCTTTTGTTGGTTGTTTCATTAATTCATTTTCAGTTGTCTGTGTAGTGAAGAGGGGAAAAAAGCCATGCTGAGTTTACATCCATTGTTGCACAACTTCTCAGAAAATATGCTAGCGTTGATTAAAGGAACTGATACATTTAAAGGCATATATTTTGATGGAGTAGACAATTTGGAAGCAGTTCCTAGTTGCCATTCCTGTAATTGTTGTAAGTGACACTCCACAGACAAGTCAGCCCTGCTCTATCAGCAGATTAACAAGTGATAAATAAAGGCGCTGTCAGTGAAGATAGCGCTCTATGATGCATTCATGACTTATAACTACTGGTTTTGCATACATGCTTTTAATTATATTTAAGAACATCAGTATAATTTTACACATTTGTTATCAGTGACTGTGTGAAACCTGGGATAATAAAACGTATCAGTTACAAATATTTATGATTGTTATTATAGTAAATTTGTGTGTTGCTAATCCTTGTTAGCTAAAAGCTAAAGTTTCAGATTGCCAGGCAGGTTTTACTACTTTTGGCTCTGGGTTATGTCACTGAACAGGTATCCTTAAAATGTAATCAAGAAGCCACTTGCTGTCCAAAAAATACCTTTTTTGTGTCTACCATAAGAAGATTGCTTAACGGTAGGGTTGCCTTATAGCAGCATGATAGACAGTGAGTGAACTAAGGACCTTTTATCATCTCACAGAATAAGATTATGAGTTACATCGAACTGTGAACGATGCAAAGCTATCCACTGGAGTAAAAACTCAAAGTTTAACTACACATTATATACCTCAGATATATTTAAAGAAAAAGAAGACTTGTAATTTCAACATTACATCTCAGTTTTTCTACATGATAAAGAAATACTGCTGTAGTAAATTAAAAACATCTATCAGCTTGTCTCCCTTGGCTTATAGAGTAAGTAGCTCATTGCCCAGACTGTCTTGTAACTATAAAACAGAAGATACCAGAACTATCCACCTAAAAAATTAAATTAAATTGAAATAGAGCTCTTAAATAGTGAAACACTGGAACGTTTCTGTCATTTAATTCTTTATCTCTTATTTAATTATTTTGGTGTGGTTTGAATGGCCATGGGGGAAGTACAAAATTGACGCTCTCCTTCACATTTTCCAAAGCCATACAGTGGGCCGATATTGAGTCTGTGCCAGGCCGATTCTGGCCCTTAGGCCTTATGCTGCACACCCCTGCCCTAGAGTTAATTTTGCAGAAATTTTGAGTGTAGCTGCTGTTACTGCTTGGTTTGTCCTAACTAACTGGCAGATAATATATTCTGTCATTCAAGATTAAAATGGGTGATTAAGGGGGCAAAAAATCTGTACGCCAGGTGCCGCTGAATGTCTAAATCCACAGGATTTAATGGGAAAATGAATTTGATTCCCCGGGTTTCCTGTAAATGAAACAAAAGGGGCTACAAAGGGAAGCTACTTATCATCATTACTGCCTGACTTCTCTACTCGTTATGTGTCTGTGTCTGTGTGAGAGTGTGTTTGTGTGCATGTCTGCCCGGGCTGTGGCCCAACACAGAAGCAGACCTCTGTTGCAAATGTAATTCACATGAGGCCAGAGGAGCTCTAACGCTATTACCACACACACACATGCACAGCTGTGTTGCCGCCCACGGTCTCTGTTTCGCGCTCCTTTTCTCTCCGTCAGTTCGTAAATTAAATTTTGAAAAACTGATCATGTCATTGGGGGGATTGGTGTGTGCTGTGCTCAGAAAATATAAAAAGATTCAAAAGACAACTTTCTGGAAGTCAGAAATGCTTTAATTATTTACGAATGAAGAAAAAACTGATGCACAGAAACCACTACCTAATACTTCTGTAAGCATTGTAGATTTTGAAAAATCAAGTGTAGTCTTTTTTTTTTTTTGAAATGTCACATTTATTCTATGCTAATATGTCCACTAGCACTGAAGTTGTTACAAAAGTGAAACGAAGAAGAAACACAAGGAGTTGGGGTGTGCAGTGCCGTGCTACAGTAACAGGAGGAAAGCCAGAGAGAAGAGGTGGGACCATTTTTCACACGAGGCTCCAGAAGCCTGAACGCCCACGCCGACTTTCTCAGACTTACAGAGAGAGAGAGAGAGAGAGAGGCAGGAAAAGTGGAGAGATTCCTAATTTCCTCAATGTCTGAATAACCAAGAGGAAAGAGATTAAACCAACTTCAGAAATATCTTTTTTTTTTTTTTAAGGCCCTTGAGAGTGACACCATGCAAATGCTATCTAACTTCAGCAGCAAGAGTTTTATAATGGCACAAAAGTTTTGCTGTGCTTTTGAAGTTTCTTTAGACTTTCACTGTTAAACTCTTAACTTAAGACCTGAATGAAGATTAAAAAAACAAAGGAGGATTCAGAATAGGCTTAATAAAATGTGGTTCTTTAAATTAAAATTTTTTGTCCTCTTCCTGATGTCATTTTCTATCACAGTAGCAGTTGTCTTGACAATAAAGAGACTCATTGAAAAGTCATTTTATAGTGTATTAAGCTGCTTTTTAAAATTTTTTTTATTTTATAAAGCTCAGCTCTTTGCCTACGCTGTCAGATTCAGTCTTCTGTGGCCACAAATGGCACTTTCAGTGTTGAGTGTAGGTCACCTTCATTTTGCAAACGCCCGAAGCCCAACACATAATGACTGTAGTTACACGAGTAAACAGAAGAAAATATGGCCCCTGTATAGTGTTCTCCTTTTGTAAAGAGATCCTCATCCTTGCCTGCAGTGTTCAAGGACAGCTAGCTAAGCTCTGGCCTGCTGTCACACAAGAGACCCACGTACTTGTGCTCTTCCCTTTTCCCATTAACTGAGTGTGTCTTCATCAGTGTCAGCCACTATTAGATTTGGCCACACTTAACTTTATGCACTGTCACACAGAGAGGACTGGGAGTTCCTGTGTGTGAGACTGTGGTGTAATGGTATTAATAGTGATGTCAGCGTAGAAGGACGGATAAAATAGCATTTCTGTGTTATAAATGGGAATAACCAGCTTGTATCTAAGCTAAGACAAACACTGAAGTGAAACATGTTTCCCACAGATTTAGTTTCCGTCTGGCTCGAGTGGATGCAATGAAAGAAGGCGCACATGCTTTCTTAAATGAACAAGGATGCACGGATCAAACCTTTTCAGCTCCTTGCACGCACTCGGGCTTGGAGTGGAGCTGACGGAAACAAGTTGTGGACATAAAAGCTTGCAGTAAAGGTTAAAATACGTGGCTGAATATATTGCAATGTTTACAAGTGCTCGATGTGTACACCTCTGGACGCATGGTATATGTCCTACGATAGTCGACCCATACTTTTGCAAGCATGTCTAAAGTCATTGCAGCCACTGCTGTTGTTATGCTACCTACCGGCAACCACGGGAACCTCACGAATCCCCTGGAAAGGTATGTGCCTTGATCATTACTGGTGAACACCTGGGGAACTCGCAGTCACTATGTAAAATTGGTCACAAAGAGAAATGCTGGTACACTGAGAAACTCTTTGCAATTGCTTTGGTTGCTGCCGTTGCCTGTAGTTGGCATGAAAAATGCAGACTTGTCCTCAGTGACTTGGCAACTACTCGTCAAGTGGTGGTGAGAATGTGAAAAGCGTGACACGTGACGGGTGGCCTTCAGAATAAGAATGAAATGTGTTGATTGCAGTGTTAAAGCGAGACTTTTTTTTTTTACTTTGAAGGCCTGGTTAGTATTAGTAGGCAGGTAGAAGGCAAGCATTTGCAGTTCAGCATCTTCCATACAAACTACAGGCAACGTGCTAGCAAACAAGTTTTTGGTGCCTTGATCTGGAATGTGGGCTGGTAATCAACAATTAAACTTTCACAACAAGAGCGGGGTTATTTCCCACGAATATGTGAATTGTGGGTGGTCTTCTCTCAGACAGATAAAAACTAAAAATGAAAATGCTGAAATGAGTTGCCGGATATATACCCCGGTTGACAGCCTAAAGAAAGAGTATGTTGGGAGCACTGAACACTGTCTATTAACCATCATCTGTAAGTTGTTTTTTTTTTTTGTTTTTTTTTGTGTTGGGGGTTTTAGCGCTGTTGTCTAGTGCTTGCTTTCTCATTCGAGCTCACCAGTTTTCTCTCTTGAGTGATACTGATGTTGATAGGCTGACTTGTGTCTGACTTGTATCACTGATTGACCCTGCTGTCTTATCATATTTCCTCTCAAACAGAGGCGCACCAGTCATTGCAATAATCAGTGTTTGAGTTCTTCTATTTGAAGACCAGTTCATACTTTTAACCACTTCACATGGTAAATGTCTAACTGCTAAAGAGAAAAGCAGTGTTTTACAGTCTATGTCCTGTTTTCTTGTTTGTTTTTAGCGGTTACGACGGTTATCTACCAAATACCGGACAGAGAAGATCTACCCGACCAACATAGGGGAGAGAGAGGAGAATGTGAAGAAGAACAGATATAAAGATATACTGCCATGTAAGTCATGTTCCACAGATGAAAGATTCTCTCCCACAGGACACATTTGAACTTATCAGAAACAGGTGAAACTAATAAAAAATTTATGGCCATGTTACTTTTCGATGTACTTTTCTTGTATGTTATACTGGCAACTCGGTGAATGGAGCCACTGCTGATTTATCCACTTTCTTTTAAGAAAACAGGATAAAAGTTGGGGTTGGCATGTAAAGATGTCAACTTTTTTCTTTAGCTTAGAATTTATTTCATAGCTTCCACGTGATTTAGTTCTTGTTTTTTTAACTTTCAATGTATTCAATCAAAAATTAATAGACAAGACTTCTTCATACTAAGAAGACATGGGGAGGACAAAGGGGACAAAATGAGCAAATTCTGGTAATTTGGAATACCCAAACCTTCAGACCTTTGGAGACGCTACTTACCTAGTTAACTCTGAAAAGGGGAGGAGAATTGGAGGTGCACAAGAAATTAACTTTGGATTTTTATGGAAACTTTTTGGTCACACCATGCCTTTGCATTAATGCGCCTCCCTGCTACGCTACAGTGCTGCTATAAACAAGGATTTAAATGGAGCCTAATGTTTAGCATTGTTGTGGGTTTTGGTGGTTGTGTGCTGCCTATGAGTAGGTAAAAATAGGCGTGGACGAATTTTGCTTTACTCCTTCCGGTTGGCATCTTGTTTATCAAAATGCACATCTGGCCTTTATGTATGCAAAGATCAAGGCCAAATGTGCTGCACTAGCTTATCATTCTGCATCTTTTTCATGACTGTAGTTGATAAACACACCGTGCTTTCACTTGGCGTTTTGATCAGAAGTGTTGCCTGACAATATAATCTATATGAAACTTTGCTCCCTGCATGACGAGCAGCTTATAAGCATCACGCACATATCAGCTCAGCTTTAAAGGTCACTGTACACCAGAGAAAACGGTGTTCAGTTAAAGGTGGTAACAGCCCCAACAAATGTCAAATATCTTTTTAGATATTGTCACCTGCTCGTGTTTACTTTGAGGATTTTATTCTAACTACTTGGTTAAATGAGTGAAATTTAGAAAATAACAAAAAATATATAGAGAGAAACATTTATAGCAGCTACAGCTACCGTAGGTCATGCAATGGTTACCTACACAGAGGTCTTGCGGTACTTAATAATAACCTCGGGGGGAAGCTTACGTGACCCAACATCTGTCCTACTTTTTATACCTTTATCCTGCTTTTCTCCTCTGTCCATCCATCCATCCATTCATTAAGGCTTTTAGTGAATGGGTTGCTGACAAGGCAAAGGAAAAACTGGTTCATCTGTGACAGATGTGTATGCACACACACGCACTGTACATAAAAATGGAGGATAATACTGTGTCCATTATATCACATATTTTACTTGTTCCCACCTATATCCTCATTCATTTTTTTGTTTATTTTTGTTTCAATAAGAAGAAAATGTTTTAATAGAGAAAATATTTCTTTCCATTTCCTCCCCAGTTGATCACAGTAGAGTGAAGCTGAAGCTAAAAACAACCAATCAGGACACAGATTACATCAATGCTAACTTCATTAAGGTAAATGTCAAGTTACTTTACCATGTTCTCTGGCATGTTGTTTACTGTTTAGTGGAAAAGTTCTCATAGTGTACTGAGTCATGTGATTAATCCTCGCTGAATGTGCTAATATAATTGATCGGTGAACATGTTTTCTCTGCTTTCAGGGTATGGATGGCCCAGAGGCCTATATTGCAACTCAGGGTCCACTGCCGAACACTGTCATCGACTTCTGGAGGATGATCTGGGAATACAACGTTGCTGTGAGTTTTCCTTACTAGAAGACTGGAAGTCAATGGATGGAGATATTTTTTTTGTTTTTCTCATTGTGAACAATTGAATCGTGTATCTAAGTGCTGTTTTTGAGCTAAAACGCTGAAGGTAAAGAGAGCAGGAAAAGTCTGATGTGTAAATCCTTACAGTTTGGATGTACTTGATGGGGGTTTTTTTCTTCCCGTCTTCATTAATAGACTGGATATCTGATTATTGGCTTCTTTGCAGTGATTTGATCCAATTTCAGCAATGTAAACTTTTATCTACTGAGGACTTAAATGGAATTAAAAAGCATTGATTTGATCTTTAAAACTAGAACCTGGTTATTTGCCAATTTATAAATAATGGCATTTGTAATATATAATAAATAAAATATTTTTAAAAATGATGAAGAGATCAAAGAAACACCCTTCAACCTTCTTGTTGAATAGTTTGTCCACCAGAGGGCGGAGTTGTCTGAGCAGAGCATAAACAAGCAGAAAAATGACTACACATGTCACACATAAATATCAGCTGATATATCGGAATGTTGGATTCTTAAATCAGTAAATAGTACTGTCGATGTTGATGCTATACTAGTCTCTGAGCGAGTCGGCTTGCTCGAAATGTTACTTTACATTAATATACTGCCAGTAAAACAAACCTTTCTAGGCTCTGTAAGGGTTACAATATATAAGGTTAAGGTTAGGTTATAGGTTATATTCTATAACGGGAATGGTAAAGCAGTTCAGTTCAATAGTTTAAAGATGTCTTTTTAGTAATCGAGCTCTATGAGGGGGGGAAAA